GGAGGTCCTGCAAGGTCAGACATGTTGCTGGATCTTTTCTGCAGCCTGTCATGGCTGCTAAAGCAGGGGGCTGGGTGAGGGTCTGGTCCCTTCACCACACTTTCATTATTCATTATTCAATTATTGTCAATTGAGGATATTTAAGTTGTTTGCATTTCCTAGCTAATGCGAACAGAGCAACAGTGAACACAGGTGAATGAGTAACTGTGCAATAAGTTTGTCCTTTGGACATATGCCAAGAAGTGGTACATATGGGTCATATGTTAAACTGTATTTATGTTCAGTATTTGGATAATTCTCCATATGGATTTTTGTAGTGCCACACAAGTTTTCAGTCTCACCGACGGTGATGAGGGTTCCCCTTTGCCTACAGCTTCACCAACATTCGTTGTCAGGTATTTTGTTAATCTTAGCCATTCCAACTAGGGTAAAATAAAACTTCAAAGTAGTTTTAATTTGCATTTCCCTGATTGCTAAGGATGCTGAATGCTTTTTAAGGTATTTCTTGACCATTTTTATTTCCTCTTTTAAGTACTCTCTGTTCATATCCATCCCCCATTTTTTGATTGGAACATTTGTTTACTTGATTCCTTGTCTTTGAGCCTTTGCATATTTCAGGATTTTGTATTCAGTGTTTTGCATATACAGTTACTAATCTGAATGTCTAATTTAAGAAACGTTTTTTTCTATTCCAAAATATAAAAGAACTTTTTAAGTCTTCTTTTAGACTATTGTAATGATTTTCAAGCTTACATGTGTAGTCAGTCCACCTGGAAATTGCTTTTACATGGATGTTAAAGGGTAAGAGCCCTTTGGGTTTCTTTTGATGAAGATCTACTGATAGCAAACTCCATTTTAGTTTGTATCTTATTTTCTCTGGTTTAAAAATAATGCAGTTTTAAAAGATAGACAATTCTAGGCTTGCATTGTTTCTTCGGCCACGTGACCATCGTTCTCTGGATGCGGGTTTCAGATTCCTCTGCTGTGAACGGCCAACTTAAAGATGTCCCTGGCCCCAACACTCACTAGCTTTCCCCAGCCGTCTCTGGATCTCCATATCTTCTCTCTAGCTTTCTCACCTTCTACACATAAATGTGCTTTTCCTGACCCTGTATGAGCTTCTTTTGGCTCCTTGTATTTTTGCCTTTTATCAGTTGTGAAAAATTCAAACATAATCTTTGCCTCATTCTGTCCTCCGATAATTCTGCTACCCTGTGCTAAAACTGCCTACATGTCCATGACCTTATTTTCCAACTTTGTTCTTAGTTGGATTCTACTATTTCCCTCTATGGCCTGCCAATTTGAAAAATAACCAAATAGACTGTCTAGATGTGGGGCTGTTGCTCAGTGACAAAGCACCTATGGAGTGTGTATACAGCCTTGGGTTCAGCCTCCAGTGCTGCAAGATAAACCCAAATAAGGCATCCCACAAGGAAAGCTACAATAATCAATAATCAAACGTGTAACATAATCAAAAGGTGCATTTAGCAGAAGTTTAAATAAAGGTTAAAATCAAGTTTAAAAATTGGAGTATATGTCAATGGGATGGTGCCATCTGAGGGCCATATTAAAACCACATTCTCAGTTGTAGTGATATATTATTTATGATTCATTAAAGCTTGCCTGAGGATTCAGAAAGCAAAGCCACCCACAAGCCATAGAAGTCAGGCACACACCTTTAATCCCAGCAGCCAGAAACTAGAATGTGTGGTATACACCTTTAATCCTAGGACTCAGAATTAAGAAATAGATGGATCTCTGTGAGTCCAAGGCCACCCAGATCTACACAAGATTAAATCAGTCTAAAAGAGAATTTATAGTTCACACCTTTAATCTCAGCACTAGAGGGGTATAAAAGATAGGAGCAAGGATTCAGTAGGAGGCATTCATTCTCCAGCCACAATGAGGAAAGGCATCAGTTTGAGGTTTGGTGTGCCTGGATCAGCCCTTTCAGCTTGAGCTTGAGGTAAGAGCTAGTGGCTGACTGTTCTGCTTCCCTGATCTTCAGGTTGTACCCCAATGTCTGTCTCTGGGTCATTTATATTTCATGTTACACTCAGTTGCAAGTTTGTTGGACTGGTGTGATTTGTGCTGTAAAACTTGGGAAAGGTCATTGATGTGTAGTATAAATTATCAGTAGAAAATTTTTCCTGTCTCAGTTCAGTGACAAGCCTCAAAATAGTTTTGATTCCCTTACTCAAGGCAGAACATTGTATTTCAAGGCCATTGTTACACAACTGGCCATTTTTATTTGTTTGTTTGTTTTGGCATGCCAGTCATATGGGCTGAGTCACGTGTGCCTTGGGTTTTCTTCATCCTCCCACACACCTGAGCACGTGTTCCCTCCCTTCAAGGAAAAACCTGGCTTCAACATTATCCTGACTTCTCCTGAATCCACTTGTATTTATGATGTTTATATAACTTTATTAGTCATTTTCAGCAGGCAAGAGCTTCACCTTCCATGGTGCCAGAAATAGAAAAGGACATAATTTGCCTCCTTATCCCCTCGATAGAGTTGTTTACCCAACTTTGTTGAATATCCATACTGAGTATCCTGGTTATATTGGGGTTGATATTTCTGGAAATTTTTTCTTGCTGGTGAGGTGGGGGAGGACGTCCTCACCTTACTTATATTATCATGACTTCATTTTTGAGAACAAGGATAGAAATTATGTTAACATGATCTAAACCAACCTGTAGAGAAACGTGTTTTAAATTCTCCCACATAGGATATGCAGTGGTCTGATTTAACAATGGAGTGAGTCCTTCATGGTGTGTCTTTCTGTTGGACAGTGTTGATCATGTGGAGATGAGCCGAGCTGGTACTGAAGGTGAGCGTGAGGCTCTTTGAGAGCTGTAGAGAGGCCCTCATCCAGCCTGAGTTGTGTTCTCAGGGGGAGTAGGCAGGCTGGAGAAACAGGGTTTGGCTCACCATTCAGGACCTGGGTTCTTCTCTGTCAACTGACCAAACTTTGAGTGCCCTACAATGTGATCACTACAACAAAAAGTCCCATCTGAACCGTGCCTGGCAGAGTGCTTTACAGGAAGGTACGGCAGGTGCCTGCAGGACACGGTGGCCCCACAGACAAAAGATTATGACTGGTATTATTGACGAGAAGTCCCTCTCATACGTTACATCCTTGGGCATGTTCTTGAAGAGAAGCAGGACTTCAACTCAACGCTCGTCCTGTCCAGCCTTTTCTCATCTCACACGAATCACCTGAAAATCCATTGTCACAATGTGATTCTGCTGCTAACAAAACTTTCTGGGTCCCCCCATTGGAAGCCTACAATGGTCCCTGCAGGACCCCCCCACCCCACCCCAGCTCCAGGCTCCTTAGCACACACACAGGCAAGGGAGGAGAGCAACATGTTCTTTTATTGATGCAAGTACATCCAGTCACACCACAACTGACATCCTGCATATGGTACAGCTTTATACTCGGAGATCAGCTCCAAATACCAAAACATCAGATGAAGGATGGTATCAAATTGGGGCAATGAAATAGCAATGTAGACACTTTCTCAAGAAGGTACTAGAACCGGTGACCCCTGAAGCACACATGGACTGAGGCTCTTAACACATGTACAGAAAATGTTCTAACATTATATTCCAAATATATATTCTCAAGTGTCCAGCCTTTATCTCAAAGACATAAACAAATCAATATGTACTATCAATATACAATCTGTACTAGCTAGAAGGTCTGAAAAGTGCAAACACACTGTGACAATACAGTGTAACTACTCGGCTCCCCAAGGCTGAGGGTGGCCACCTAGCCCACCTCCCTATGGCCTGGCTGGCCATCTCCAGGCTGTCCTCAGGACCTCTGGGAATGGGACTAACCATTCCGTATTGGGCTTCTTGACAGGCAGCTCCCACCCGAGCCAAGCAAATCAGTGTAGATATCTCCAGCTGTCTGAGGGACAGGACCATCCCATCCATGATCAGTAAGACCCAGGGTTCACGCCAGGAATTAGACATGAAAGATGAACCACACTCCCCTGTTTGGATCAAAAATACATCGCTCCCTGTTGGACAGTTTGATCTCTAGCATGGGGGGCTCCCTGGGTAACTGAGTTTCAGATTACCCACGGAGGGCCTCCTGCCAAGGGAGGGGAGGCTGCCTGCCACACACCCATTCTGTTTTCCTTCCCTTTGCACACGAGCTTCTGATGCCACCTTCCATTACTGCAGCGCCATGGCTCAGGTGCAGCCCAGGAGACTGATGGTGCCCTCCCTATATTGTCTTAGATTTTTCTCTCTTCTAAAACACAATTGAAGAACAATTTGCCAAACATATTCTCACAGAAAATATGTTGTCAGGCATCCCCTTGCCCCTCCCAACCCCATAAATCCCTGATAAAGGAAAATGAAAATGTAAACTTTGGAAAGCCCATATGTAAAGGTTCCTTTCCAGAAGTGTGCACACGAGACCTCCTGGCCACTCCAGCCCTTCCTGTGGGAACCTGGTGGCCCAGGCTGCTGAGGGTGGGCTCCTTGCGGCACAGGACAGAGCTGGCTGCAGCTCCAACAATGGAACAGGAAGACTGGACCCCCAGTACCCTCTAAGGCACTAACCCCAACATCAGAGACACTGGCTGGAGAGGCGTCCGAGCAGGCAGGGCTCACATTGGTTTTGGTTGGGTTATTTTAAATTTTTTTCATAGGATGTTAATCATCAAAAGTAGAAAATAAAAATCTACATTTCATTAGAATAAGATGTTACCATGGTTACCATCTCCCATGATACTCTTTCCCGCCCCCTCCCCAAAACAGGGCCCTGCCCTGTTTAAAAAATAAATAACAACAACGGAAAAAAAAAACTTCGTAAGTGCCAAAGGCTGATGCATGGAATAATTACCATTTTCTTTTTCATAAAAGTTATATACAAAATGGACCCCAACCAGTGAGGCCGCCTCCTCTCTCATTCCATATCTGTCACTATTTGAACTTGGTTCACTTGTTATGTTTCATCCGGCATCTGCAGGCTGCATCCTTAGGCTCTGTTAAGGAGAGTGGTCCTGCAGATGGACAGAAGGGGCTATATCAGGCTCCCACATCTCTGTGAGAAGAAAGCCCAAGTCCAGCCCAGTCTTCAGCATCCTACCAAACTGTCCAATGGGAAGGCTGGTTCTGATCTTGCCACACCCACCCTCCCCTCCCTAGGCCCGGATGTACCTGGCATGTCCTACCTGAGCGCCTTCCAGCTGTCCTTCTCCATGTGGTTCTCAGGCCCTTCGCTTTCAAAGGAGGCGATGAAGAGAGCTGAGGAATGGAGAACCCCTGAGAGCCATCATCCCCACAGGTGGGTTATAACAAGCTACCCCCTCCAGGGTCACAGTGAGGGCCAGGAAAAGAGGACTAGGAACTCTAACCGAGCCCTGACTGTCTCCTAGGACCACCTTAAGAGGTCAATGGGCCTGGGTGGGTATGAGAATAATTGCTGTGCACCGGGGAGGCAAGTGTGCTGTGGAACCAGGGTGATGGGTGTGCTGTGCACCCAGGGAGGTGGGTGTGCTATCAAAGACATAACCCTTACCTTCCTCGCTGTAGATGGGTGCCGTGAGCAGGTAACTCTGAATCTTCTTGTCCTTCTCGAAGGGACACTCTACCTGTGTCCATGTCATAAACTCATGGATCTGTCTGGAAATTTCCCAAAATTTCTGAAGGACAAAAACAACAGGATGTTCTATATGTCCCCTGAATGAACTTAAAGCCAACTATCAGAGCCAGAGATATGGCTCCCATGTCTGTCTACTGCTTTTGTTATAGTCCCAGCAGGAGGAAGATGACAGTACCAGCCTGGCTGACATCATGGCAGCTTGTACAACATCAGAGACAGCCAAAATCCCTGAGACCACTCTGCCTTACCCTTTGCACAGGCAATCATGCTACAACAGGGCCAGTGTCTCTCCTGCATGGGGACCTAGAAGGCTCCAACTCAAGGTATCCCCTAGCCACACCCAGCACCAGCAGGACAAGCTACTGTCTTCCTTACCATGGCATCGGTATGAATGCACAGGACCCAAATACCCTACTTAACATACCTTAGACTTCCCCAGGTGCCTCTGTTCTGCTCCCTCCCTTGGCCAGGTACCCTCAGCCCACCAGGCTGGTTCCTCACTTTCTGCGGAACGTTGCTCAAGTTCCTTCTTACCTAAATCCCTCTTCACTCCCAAGTCCCTAGGGATGGCTGCTCCCATGCTCCTTAGTGGAGTCAGCGTTGGTACCAGGATCCTGGATAAATACAGGCCCTGTGGCAAGAAGCTCCATGATCTGCTGTCCTCCCCCAAGAAAGACGGGAGCTGCACCTCACACCTTAAGGCTGAAGAGCAGCCCTGACCCATCTGGCACATCCAGCCCTGAAGGACCTTCTAGACCTCGGGGCAAGGCCTGGACACCAGCCCCTGCTACAAAGCCACTGTCTGGCAGCTGTAGGAGCACAGGAAGGCTCTGCCTGCCCCACCCATGCCGGGACCTCGAGGGGCCAGGCTCACTTTGAAGTTAATATGCCCATCGGGCAGGTGGTTGGTGTGGATTTTGTGCAGAAAGTAGATGTCCTTCACAAAGAGGTTGAACACGGGGATGACAATCTTCTCCCGACTGCTGTTGGCTGTCTGGGACCTCTGTGTCGCCCCCTGCAGGGCTGTGCGGTAGTTGCAGAAGTTGCTGGAGGGGTCCATGTGATGCTGCAGGAACAGGGGAGACAGGGTGAGTCCCCCAAACCTGTGCAGGGGGCCCCTCTGTCCAGTATGAGGTGACAAGTGGAGAAGGCGTGCTCCCGGGGGCCCAGAAGCAGCCCTCAGCCCCCCAGGCCTGCGTGCCCAGCTGGTTCCAGGTCCCTGCCATTAGAGCAATGCTTTTCAACCAGTGGGCCACGGCCACTTTAGGGAGTCGCATGAGCCTTTCACAGGGGTTGCCTAAGACCACCAGAAAACACAGACATGACAGTTGACATGACAGTTCATAACAGTAGCAAAACTACAGTTAATGAAGGAGCAACTGAAATGATCTCATGGCTGGGGGGTCACCGCGGCATGAGGAACTGTACTAAAGGTCACAGTGAGCATTAGGAAGGTTCAGACCCACACCTTTAAAGCCTTGGCTGCACTACACAAACGGCCACCACTCCGCCCCACAAGGCACAAGGATCAGGCTTTCTAAACACCAAGTAGTCTGTGACCAAATCCACCTATGGAGAGCTTCAGATGGCTTGCCTGCCAGCCTCTGGGGACCCAGATGGCCCAGGGTCAGGAGAGGCTGACTACTCAGTGGCCAGTGTCATTTGGTTCAAACTCTATCACCCTTCGGGGCTCACTTTAGGTTTTGACTCCATCCAAAGCAATGAGGCCAAGGAGAGTTCAAGTGCCCACCACCACCAAGGCCAGTCCCAGGAAAGATGCCACCCCCTGCTGCTGAGGACCCTCTGGACAACAGGAGATGAGAGCAGGGGCAGATGCCAGTACCTCCAAGACATCAAACTTGGCTGTCTTGACTTTGGACCAGGTTTTCTTCAGCCGTGCCACTGGACTGAGGTTCATGCCAGCTGGAGGGACATCGAGCAGAAGTCAGGGCATGGAGAAGCAGGTGGCACAAGCAAGCCCACCTGTACCTGGACACTCACATATGATGGCCATCATGGAGTTGAAGTTGCCGATGTTGAAGCATTCTCGGGCCACATCAATGAAGAACTCCAGCATGCGGGTCCGGTGTTTCTTCTTTACCACCTGGAAACAGTGAGTCTGCCTCGGCATGGAGCCACCAAGGGACCCCTGGGCAAAGATGCAGGGACTGCATCAGACTTAGCTGCCACAGACTTAAGGCTGCATCTCCAGAGGCTAGATCTATGTCTTGGCACTGCTTCGTCCTCATCCACAAAAGGAATGAAGTCACCTGCCTCAAAGGCTGAGGAAGATAAAACCCACTATAATTGGCTTAGTAGTTCTGGCTGGGTACAGGCAGAACACTCCAGGGATTGGGTCATTTTTGTTGTGTAAAAGAATCATTGCTGTATGTGTGTTTCTGCTGGCAGGGGCAGCCTGAGGTCCTGGCAGTGAACACCATGTGCATTTACTCGAGACTTCGAGGGCAGGAGTCAGTCAGCCTTGCAGAGACGGTGGGAGGGGCCACCTTACCCAGATCAGCTATGGTATGGTAGAAACTTACCCGGCATACCTCTGTAGCCACCAGCATGCTCAAGCAGTTGAACCAGTTGTCATAGGCCTCTAGACTGTAGGTCTTAGTCATGTCTCCTCGGCACTAGAGGGACAAAGCATGTCACAGGGAGCCCTGGGGACATTACTTGGACAAGTCAGTCACTCTGGCTGACGTCTCAAGGCCAAGACATGGCCTGGACCATGCCTGCCTGCTCCTTAGCTGTTCTGACAGGCTAACCCATCAGTCCACTGACACACGGCTCTGTAGTCATCACTAACCCCTGTGATAAATCCCTGGAAGGCCACAGCCACACCTACTGGGTGGCATGATTCAGTAGCCAAAGTGCATACCACATACTAAGTAAGAGCTGCACCCAACTCTGTGTGTGTGTGTGTGTGTGTGTGTGTGTGTGTGTGTGTGTGGCGGGGATGCAAGTGCCAGGCTCAGCTAGGCCAACTACCAGCCATGGTTGCCAGAGTGTGCCCACTCACCCTGTGATTGTCCAAGGAGTCCATGTGGCTGATGATCTGCATCAGGTCCTCAGGACGGATGCTGCTGACCCTCTCCTTCAGCGGGAGACAAGGAGAGGGGACAGAGCTTCAAGGGAGTTGAAAGAGACCGCGGGAGCAGAAAGAGCCTGCCCTGGGCAGAAACTATCTCCTTGCAGGCCTCTCCTCTCCACCACAGGCCAGTGTTACTGTCCCCCTCCCTCTCATACAAGGATGCCACACTTTTACAGGCATAGAAATACCCATTGCTCTAGTGGATATACAGCTAGACTATGGCAGTAGTATCACAGCCCAGACGGACCAGCAGGGAGGTATCCCTGCAACACCCAGTGGCTAAGCAATGCAAGTGCGGCCCAACCCCACCCTATACATGCAACAGAGCATGCAGGAGCACTGACCAGTTCGACGTGCGTCAGCTGCTGGGCCAGCACCAAGGGGTCACTGCACACACCCAGGATGTCTTTCTGGGCGGCTGGTGGCTTGGCCTTAAGGATAGGCCCTTTGTCCACAACTGGTGACCGGAGCTTCTCTCGAAGCTCCTGGAGCTGGCTTCGGGCAGCCAGGGACAGCAGCAAGCTTTGTATCATTTGGGCAATGGCTTTCTTCACTGTGCCGTTCTCCTGTGGGGGTGAGGGCTTCATCAAGGTGCTGGAGGGCTCTGGCAGCATGGCCATGGCTGTCGCCGCCACCACCACCACCACAGAGAGCCCCATCTCACTTCAAGGGTTATGTCTGACCTTCAGCTCCCATCCTCCTATCCAAGCCTACCTTAGGCCCCTTGATGGCACTGTGGGCTACAGAGAGACTCCCAGGGACTAAGAAGTGGGCTGTCCTTCTAGGGCAGGGGCAGAAGGTAGGGCTAGGGCTTGGTTTGTGAGTCTGAAAGCAACTTTCCCAGAGGTTGCTAGCACAGCTATTGCTCCCTGCCTCCATAGCTGGAGGAACCCAGAAGGCACCAGAAAGGGTGTTGTCCCTATGTGGGGTGTCCTATGCTCAATGGTTTCTCGGGGTTCTCCATCTTGGGAAGATGCCGTACAATTCCTCAGCTCTGTCTCTACCAAGGCCAAGACACATTGGAGAGCCAGGAAGAGCAGACCGGTTCCTATAACTGCCCATAAATTCCCACCTAGGCATGAGGGTGCTGAAGGCCAGGATGGAGTTAGGCAATTGTGGGATAATCCAGGTCCATCTAGCCCACTGCTGGCCCTCTAAGCTATTGTCTATGGGCGCTAGCCTCTCGGCGGTCCCAGGAATATGAGGATATTCCTGTACAAACTGCCCCACCACCACCAAAAATACCCAAGAAGCCTGACAAAGGACCAAGGGAGGCCCTCACCTCATCACACTGAGTGACACGGTGTGCGATGGCCTTCAGCTCAGCCATGGCCTTTTCATCCTGGAAGTCGTAAGGGAAGGCCTCTGTCCACTCCTTCAGCAGCTGTACAATCTTGGTAGAGAAGGACTTCAGCTTGGCCTGAGGCAGTGGGGGATACGTAAGACTCCCAAGTCAGAGGGAACCATAGGTGGCAATGGGACAAGTTACATTTTGCCTTAGGGCCGTGCCCCTCCCTAAGGCCTGTGCTGAGCGCAAAGCCCCTGTGAACATCCAAGGTTTTGCCAGAGCTACACTACAATATGTTACTCTCATTTCTTCTCTGAAATGGGCCTTCACTTAACTTCACCTTAGAAAACAAAACAAAATGCACCACTACCATGACAGAAAATTAGTTCTACTTGCTATAGTTCAACATGACCCATAAAAAAGCACACAACTAAGAATCACATTAGATGCAAAACTGCTCTGCCCTCTTTCCCAAAGAACTGGGAGGAGGTTCAGCCCTGAGGAAGAGGGGGGGGGGAATGCATGTGTAACCTCTGCCCCAGAGAGGAGATTGAGAGCGCCCACAGAGGCCAAAGCCCCCCAGCACTGTCATGGCTACTCCAGGCCTTTTGACTTATCACTGCCCAAAACAGGCCATAGTATTGGCTTCAAGAACCCTATTGCTATTTGGCCTCACTCTCGTCAGGCCCAGCCTGCAGACCCATGAGGCTTTACCCAGCTCAGCCTGGACTGGTATTGTCATGGACACTGGTCTAGCAGATACTCTCAGCTGCACTTACCAGGCCAGCAACTCTGACAAGACTGATGGGGTATACAGGGTATTCATGGGTTCCCTCCACAAACCCCCAGTAGGAGAGGGCTGGGCCACAGAGCATGGATCAGGCTGCTCCCTGGTGCAGAACTGCCAGCTCCTGCACAATTACACCACCCTTTCTGCTAGACCAGACCCTAAATGGGCCCAGGCACCAGGGCGTCAGAATGATGGTGGCTTCCTGACCAATGTCTCAATCCAGAAGGGCCAAATTGTCCTATTGTGACTACTGAATATTCCCATGTGAGCAGTTGCTATCCTGAGGGCACAGCCACCTGATGCCCACAGAGATGACAGTGACTAAGACCCCTCTGATGTTTTTGCTGTGACCTCATTTTATGGAACTGGACACTGACCGGGAGGCCAGCTGTCTATGGGGCCTGCCCCGGCAGCTTAGAAAGGTGCTTAGCTCTAGGTCACACCTCTGAACCTGAGGGGCCACTACTCCTCAGGGCTGCAGCAGGACCAAGCTGCTCTGCCCACACGGGGCCTCCAGGCTGAGCCATACCATGCCCTGCCCACTTTCTCTATTCGCTGCCTCTCCCCAAGCCAGGAGACAAAGGGCCATCGTCCCTTCAGGGGCTTACCTTCTCAGGCCCAGCCTCTAGCTGTTGCCTCTGCTCCAGGCAGATCTGCCCTACTCGAGCCAGGAGGTCATGAGGGGGCATGAAGACTCGAGAACTCAGGAGAAATGTGAAGATGTATGTCCTCTGAAGGAAGGAGGGGTAAATGACAATCAGACGGCTGCCATGGGTATGCTGGTTGCATTTCTCCCAGGCCATCACTCTGTGCCTTTGCTCACATGGTGTTCTTTATCTTGTACAACCTTGCTTCTTCCCACTGCTATGTGTGCACACCTAGGAGACTCTGCTCTTCAGGGTTCTCCACTAACCCTCTGTCGCACCCCATGATGGGGGTCCTCCGGGTTCATGATGTCTGGTCCAAGCCAGACTGAAAGCTCTGGGTGACACAGCCCGTGGCCAGTGGTTCTCATAGCTTATGTCCCATGGGTCAGTTACTACAGGATCTTCATAGGCTCCTTCCTGCTTATGGGCAGGTGGGTCGGGATCCTCTGTGGGACTCTACCCCACTTGGACCTTGGTCCATCCCCATTTGGCTGCTGTAGGCCAGACTGCCTAGTTCCTTAAGCCCCAACTCCAAGCCCATAAGGTGGGAATTGACCTGCTGTAGCCTGAGGTCAGCAGCCTGAAGTAGAAATGTTCACACCATGGGAGCATGCCAGGCGACTAGAGGTAGCTCTCACTGGGACACTGCGTGTTCCTCTGACGCTGTAAACCTCTTGTGACCTGTCCCAGGCTGCACAGTATGATTGCCCAGGCATCCCAAGCAACAGTTGAGACTCTCAGGGTCCAGCTTACACACACATGACTCAGACATGTAAGGAAAGCATATTATGGTCCCACCAGGGGCTCCTAGCCATCTCCAAGGAGTGGGGATCTTCTGGTGTGTTTACATGGTATGTATGTGCTCAGCATGTACCTGGGGACTGAAGATTGGGGACTCTGAAGAGGAGCTAATGCACCGTGGGACTCCCCTGTCTACTTCCTGACCTGCTACCCCCTTCCTGGGAACCTGTAGGGTGGGCATCCCAGGGCCCACTATCCTGAGACTGGGGTGACAGCACATATGGGGATTGTTCCCTGGCTTGGCATAAGATCATGGCTCCAGAGCATAGACAGGGACTGTGTCCCTGCCCTGGGTTTCTTTAGGACCTAGGATTCTTCCTCCCAGCTCTGTCTCACTCTCTCAGCAGCCATTTCTGTACCGCCATCGTCAGCCCTAACTAGTCTCTGGCAGGGCTTACAAGACAGACGGCAGGAAGGACAGGGAAGGTTTGTCTTCACAGAGCCCAGGGGGGAGGGGGATGGCCTTGGCCTTGCAGGTGGGGAAGTCAAGCACTGCCCTTCAGGGGCGGCTGGAGAGATGGCTCAGCAGCTAAGAGCACCTCTTCCAGAGGACCCAAGTTCAATTCCTAATACCCACCTGGCAGCTTATAACTGTCTCTAACTCCAGTACCAGGAGTTACAGACACACACGCAGGCAAAATATCCATATATGTCTATTTTTCTAAAAGATAGCTAGGCATAGTAGCACACATCTTTAATCCCGGCACTCAGGAGGCAGAAGCAGATAGATCTCTGTGGGTTTGAGGCCAGTCTGGTCTACAGAGTGAGTTCCAGGACAGCCAGACCCACATAATGAGACTCTGTCTCAAAAGACCAAAAACAAAGTAAGGGAACAGCCATTCCACCTACCCTGTATCTGACCACCAGGAACCCAATTGTCTGCCCTGGGACAGATGGACAGAGGCTGCTCAGCTGGGACTAGCCTGCAGAGCCCCTCTTGCTAAGAGATGTCACCCATCAGAGGTGGAGGGAAAGAAACATGAGATACTGTCTTCTCTGTTCCCAGAATGCCTGATGTGTCACCTCAAAATGGTGAGGAAGAAGGCTTTGAACTACTGATGAGCAGGGAAAGGGCTTTGGCATTCACATGCCTCGGGGAAGGGTGGGGGGTCTTCCTTTGGAACTCATGCTTCAGCTCAGGGATGGGCTCTAGGAAGTAGTCTGGGCTAACAGGTCACATGACCCCCCTGCTGACCTTACCCTTCAAACTCTCTTCCTCTGGGGTAGGCCCTTTGTATGTCTCCGTCTCCTGTGTGTCCTCCCTTATTTTCCCCTGCAGCAGGGAAGTCACTGTGGCTTCCTCCAGACATCACTTCCATTGCAGAGTAGAAGGTGACGAAGGCCCAGGAGGCAGGGTTGGTCCTGCTGTCTGTCCATCCCCTGCTGTTCTCTCTAACTCTCCAGCCCCATCTGGGCCTCCCTCTCCTCCCAGAAGCAGCCTTCCTTGGAGCCCGGGGTATCCCCTCCCTGTTACTTGTCACTCGGCTCCCCCAGATCCACGCTACTCACATCAGGATAATAGTCCACCGTTGGGACCAGGTGCTCCATCAGGGCCTCCAAGGATCCAGAAGTGAGGCGTCCATCTTGGAAAATGAGGTCCCTGGAGCCACTGCTGGCCCCACCTCCTCTTTCCCCCATGCCGGGCTGCACCTGTCTGTTACAGTTGGGCCCAAGGATGCTGGAGAAGACCACAGATGTCTGGGGCATAGCTTCCTGGGAAAGAAGAACAAGGACGAGAGCTCTGTCTTAGGTTGATGGCAAGGCTGACTAGAAGCCCAAGGAGAGGTTGCTGGGCAGCTTGGTGGTCCCCCAGGCAGCGCAGCCCTGATGAGAATTTCTTGAACACCCGCTCCGTGCACACCAGATCTCACTCCAGGGACCCTGACTCAGTGTAGATTCCCAGTGTCCTAACCATGGGCCTCCTGAGATTATATCCAGGAGAATAAACGCTAGAGCAAGTACAGGGACGGGGCCTGCGGTCAAAACAGCCTGAGTGACGAAGTGTGAATGATGGATGTGGCTTGACTGTTGGTCATTAGCTATGCAACTCCTGAGGATAACCAAGGAGGATCCTCAGGGCGGCAGATGCCAACTCCTGAGGTTGACGCATGTGGAGATTAATGGATTAGTAGGGACAGTGGTCTGAGGACTGGACTAATTCCTGTGTGCTGCTGCGCAGCTGCCAGAGCTGAGAATTTCCTCTAGAGGGGAGCTAAGGGATATGGTAAGAGAGGCCCTTGGAAGCTGACGGCCTGGTTCTGCTGGAACACTGGGAGGGCTTATCTGGCCAAGTAGCAGCAGAGAGGAGGGGCGTGGAACTGACCATAGATACTGTAAAGAAAGAACTGCCGAGCCTGAGCCTCTTACCAACACAACACAGAGCAACAGATAGGGTCTGGGGCAACATCTGTAACTTGCTTTTTGGACATGTAACATCAGATGCTGATGCAGGCAGGGCAGCATCCTGGTGAGATTGCTGTGTCCCAGGACTGCTTACTGTGGATGGCCTGCCTTATGCGATCCCTACCTTATGTGCAGCTAAGTCCCTGCTGAGGCAGTGGCAGATCAAAAGCCTCCCTCCTGAACTTCAGTCTCCCAGCTGCCCAGAGTAGCCAGCTGTGCTGGTTTGAATGAAAATGGCCCCCATAGGCTCACATGTTTGAATACTTGAACCCCATTTGGTAGAACTGTTTGGTGAGGATTAGGAGGCATGGCCTTGTTAGAGGAGGTATGTCACTGGGATTGAGCTTTGAGATTTCAAAAGCCCACACCATTCCCAGTTAGCTTCCTTTGCCTTGTGCTTGAGTCTCGACATGTGGGCTCTCTCGGCTACTGCCCCAGCACACATCTGCCTGCCTGCCTGCCTGCTGCCATGCTTCCCCACCATGGTGGTCACGGACTCATGCTCTGAAACTGTAAGCCCCAAATAAACTCTTCTACAAGTTGCCTTGTTTCATGGTGTCTTGTCATAGCAATAGACGAGTATTAGACACAACCAGCCAACTAGAGATCAGGACAAGTGCAGTATTTGCCTGGGAGGTGCTTGTGAAACCTGATCCTGAGGGCATATCCTCCCCATGTCCGCTAGATGGCGCTAGCCACAGTGCTAGCCTCTTCTCTCATCCCTGGGGAGCAGGTGGACGGACGCAGGGCACTGGCAGTTGTGAGCAGATTGAGGAATCAGACCATCCAACCACAACTGAAACCATGGGTAGAACCTGCAGAGTTTGGGGGTGTGGCTCCACTCCAACACAGCAGCCACCTCACAGGCCTGAAGCCCTCCCTTGATCAGAGGAACCTCATGCTGAGAGGAAACCTATTCAGAAAGCTTATTTTCCCTGACTCTGTGACCCTTGCACAGTCCAAACACAGGGCTCCATGCCAGCAGTGCAAATGCGCCACACCACAGAACCACACTTGCCTCAGTTTCTCCATTATGCAAAACATAACCATGACTACTTGACTTCCATTAAACCATTGGCTTTACAGACAGCTACCTCCCCCACCACACACACACACACATACACATACAACACTGTACAGCAATGACCTCTCCCAAGAGGCAGTAAGAAGCAGGCAGTGACCCAAGCTTACCTGACAAAGAAACCTAAGGTTTCCTTGGAATTCTTGAAGAAAAATAAATCTTTTGCCACACACAAGTGTGGGAACTCAAGCAAAGCCCCAGGACAAGGGTGAGGAGCTGATACCAGAATACACCCCTTAAAGTTCAGTAGTCAGACACCCCATGGCTGGGGTACCTCACACATGTTAAGAACACATTATTCTCAGGCCCAGCCTGGCTTTGCTGCATCAGAAACACAGGGGCAAGCTCGATGTTGTGTCCCAGTAAGTTTGCCAGGGATCCCTGGATCAAGTCTGTGGACCCCTGACTTGAGAAAAGCCTTCGTGTTTCAGATCACAAAATGGAGGCCAACTGAGGTAACATGCAAGTAAAGAAATCCAAAGATCTCCAAGTGCAGCCTGAGGGCTCCTTCTCCAGGAAGTCTTCCTACCTTCTTCCCCATGAGGCCAGGATAGGCTGGATGTTGGCTTTTGTGTCCTTCCATGGGCCCAGCATGGTACTCAGAGACCATCTATACAATCAATACTGGTGGGCTCTTGTCACCTGCAGTGACCCAGCAGGCCTCAGGGTCTCACAGAGGTCTGGGTGGACCTCAAGTTCACATAGTTCTGAATGATCAAAAGGTGCCTGGCAGGTGGTAGCTGTGGCCAATAGCACCTCCATAGCCCACACCCCTGGAGTTTTAGCTCTACTGAGGCAGCAGGGGCTCCGGGCAGGAGGTGTTATTGAGGGAAGGGATAAGGGGGGCATAAGCTCTACCTTCCCATTAACCCACATGGCCCCTGTGGAGTGTCTGTGGCAAGGCTGCTATATTCAGCCTTCTGGGAGAACCAGAGCCAGGGGCATGGCTGCCTGGGTCTCCATATACTGTGATTCCTCTGTTACAGTGAGATTTGCTGCCTTTAAAGACAGAAGTCTGAGAAACTGGTAGGAGTACCTGGGGCATCCACGGTTCCCAAAAGGCTGAGACTTCCCGGGAGCCCTGGGAATCTGGAGTCCGCAGGAATCACTTGGAGGGAACACATCGCAAAAGCTAATACTCAGCTTTATAAATGACAGTGAATGGTGGCACCAAATCATCTCATTTGTTCTGTACTGTCATACCTCTCTTCCATAAATGCTCACACAGAGGTCAAGTCACAGCCACAGGTCCCACAGACAAGTGAAGGAGGCCAGGATGCAGAGACAGCTAGCAGTAAATGGAGGAGACCGCCTGAGTTGGGATCCTCAGCCTTTGGGAGCCTCTGCCCAGAGGAAGTGTGCTTCTGAGGTCTGCTAGGAAGCCAAAGAGCCCCTGACAGGATGCCCGCACTAAGCCCCCATCACCTGCATACCAACACCACAGTGAGCCCACCCTGCATGGATTCTCTATAACACCAAACACCCCACCCCACCCCCACACAGCAGCAAGAGCACCTGGTCTTGTTAAAATGTAAGATCTTGTTCTAGACCTGGCCTGTGGGTTGAATCTGACTCTGATCAAGACACAAGGGTGACCTTGGGCGGATAAACAGAAGGACAGGGACTCTACCCCCTGCACATTCCAGCCTCCAGTGCCTTAGGCCAGCTAAATGAGATTCCCCTCACTGTGGCTGTAACTAGCACAGTGCTGGGGCTTTTCAAAGCCATCTTGCTCAGCTTTCACACCATCTGGGGGCAAACTTGGCACAGGCATTTCCTGGGGGTTTCTAGGTACAAATGAATATCTGTAAATTCCTAGCTGCACCGAGACCCCTGTGGCCCAAGAAGCCCACAGGCCAGCCAGAGGGAGTCTAAGATAGCCCCAGACTGGGCCGACTTCTGAGGCTCACCTTTTCCTCTGCCCCTAGTCTAAAAGAAGTCAGCCTGGGCCACACTGCAGTCCCCATATGCATGGGGACTAGGCTATACCAAGCTGGCTTTACCATTCCTCACCCCTTCTCCTCCATTCAAGCAAGAAAACAAGTACCTTCTAATTACAGACCTAATCAACTCAGTAAAGCAAGCGCCTCACAGCCAGACAGAGCAAGTGACTCACTGTCTCCTTGCAGACAGCCCTTGAAAGCTTCTCAATTCCCACGTCAAGACAGGTGGTGTGAGGGCAGGTCCTGGGATCCAGGCTGCAAGACTACTGGAAGGATCTCTCCTGCCCAGAGGGGAGAGAAACTGTTTCCATGCCTGGGTTTACCCGGCTCTGTGGAGCCACCGCTGAGAAGTTCTCCTGGCCTGACAGGAATTGAAGTAGGGGGAACAGACCATACCCCCTGCTTTCAGAGACACAGAGACCTTCAGACTGGGGGTGGGCATGGAGGGCTGCCTGGCAGAGGTGAGCCTGAGAAACCCTTTGCTAGCCATTGAAATGGATGAGTTTCAGGCTGGCCAACTAGCCAGAAGTGAGACAGCCAAAGGGACTATATGTCTAGGAACTCCCCTGCCACTATACCTCACTAGGGCCTTACCCTTCCCTGAAGGCTCAGCCACGGTGCCCACTCAGAATTCTTCTGTTTCTGATCATGAAGTGGCTCATGGGTCCTGCTGCCAGACCCACACTTGCTGCACCTCCCAGGACCAGCACAGATGGCACACTGTTCCCCACCTATGACCATCCGGGCCCCATTTCCCTAAGTCCTCTCTTGTGACTGCAAGTCCTAGGCCCAAGGTATGGGAGACAGCTTGGGATGTGGGTTCAAGAATAAGCCCTGTCTCCATATTTGCAATAAAGTGTCTAGGCTTCTCTGAGCCCGTTCCCTCAGCAGTAACCAGGTGGGTTTCTCATCCCTCCTCCATGGAAGGCTGTGTAAGGACTAAGTAAGATGACAACTAATATGTATGCATTCCTGGAGCAGTACCAGATATGGCCATGTGACCTGCGGAGTAGTTCGATGGTTGTTCCTGAGTCTGACAATGGCCTCTGACCAAAGGCTGCAGAGCCATCAGCACACACCAAAGCTCTTGCTGTGGTGTGACACAAGCAGGCCCATTCTGGAGACATACATCTGGGCTGCAACAGGTGATACCTCACAACTTTCACACCAGTGTGTATATTTCGATCTGGGGGGGGAGACACAGAGACCAGTAAGAAAATCCCACCCCACCCCCACTCTAGCTAGTCAAACACTTCACAGAGCTCTGCCAAAGACACTGTGTGGTGTGTGAACACATT